GGGGGGGGGGTTATTCCCTCATACAAACAACAGCAGCGTGGTGCCAGCACACATGTGCACAGGAAAGAAACTTACAAGTAATTGACATGAAGTGTACATCAACAAGTTGTTGTTTCCCTCTGTCCTACCCAATGGGGAGGGGCAGGCTGGTCTCCAAAGCCTGTACACATTTCCTGAGAGGCCCTGACTGCTGGGCCCCACACTCTGCCATACTCAGGTGGTCAAACAGTCACAGATCAGCCCAGATTCCAGGGGACTGAGGATTAAATTCTACCTCTTCAAGGGGCAGTGGCTTGTGTGTAAAAGGAGGGAAGGAATTGACGATGGCCATCTTTGGCAATAAGCTCTCACATTTGTTTATTTATTTGTTATTGGCTATCTAATCCCACCAGGTTATATGTAAGCTCCATAAGGAAACAGGGACCTTGTCTATCTTGTTTTATGGCTCTCTTTCCAGAACCTAGAGCTATGCCTGGCACATAGCAGGTGCTCAATAAATTAACCACTTGGTAAGTGTTTGGGAAACTAAAATGGACTGAACTAAGCTTCTCCAGGTTGGTTTCGCCAGATTTGCTGATGTTATGCATGTTGATGCCTCACCAGATAAGAGAAACCCTACATTTATAAAGCATTTCATGTCCTCTGCAAACAAGAAAACTTATCCTGAACACAAAATCTAGAAATAGATTTGGCGTGTTTTCCAAATGGAAAACATGTCTTATACCACCAGAAATTATTTTCCCACAGCTTGTGCTACATCAAAATATTGAAGTTGACTGCAAATATCCCATTCTTTAAATTGGTGTGGGCTAGAAACAATTTATTTTTTTGTAGCAAAGGAAATATAAAAACCTCCTGCTATTTGAACCTTCCCAGAGATCCCCAAACTGAAAATATCATTACAAGTTAATATAAATTATATATAAAAAAAGATGATGACTGAGAATGTCATTAAAAATTTGGTCATAAATATGTACAGTTTTTGGTTATAAAGCCAGCACTTGTTTATTTAAGTAATTACATATGACTAAAGGCAGAAAAAAAATCTCCCCTTTGCTAGTTTTTACTGGTGAGTTCTATAAAATAATCTCATGTTTAAATCTTTTTATAAATCTCTTGTAAATCAGTAAGTGAGAATGTGCTCATCTGAAGGATTTTAGTGACTTTTGAAGTTAAAAAAAAGAGGGATTTAATTCTTAAATTTACACTTGCAGATGACTGCTAATTAAATTTCTTTTCATCTTTGTTTTATCTTCAGTTTTCCCAAATTTGCTGAAAGCAATCCCAGTGAGCATTCACGTCAATGTCATTCTCTTCTCCATAATCCTTATTGTCCTGACCATGGTGGGGACAGCGTTCTTCATGTACAATGCTTTTGGCAAGCCCTTCGAAACTCTGCATGGTCCCCTAGGGTTGTATCTTCTCAGCTTCATTTCAGGTAAGTACAAAATTGTACCCCAAATGTATTTTTCAGTGTGTCCAAAGGTGGTCTACCCAAATACAAAGTTACAGTATATATACATAAATGTTCACAGTAGCACTATAAATGATAGCAAAAAGTGAAGAGAAATATAATTATTCAACAGTAGGGAATTCAATCAATATGCTACGGTAGTTTATGTGAATGACTATGATGCTGGCATTAAATTATATTTTTGAAGAAGATGTAATCAAAAGGATAAATGCTTGTATCAAAAATTAAGTGAAGAAAAGCAGTAATAAGATTTTATAAGCAAGGACCTAACTGGAATATATATATATACACATTTGTATGATTATATATATTTTATGATTTTATATATATATGTAAAATTGTATATATGTAGGATTATATATATATATATGTGTGTGTGTGTGTGTGTGTGTGTGTGTGTGTGTAGGGTTATATATATGTTGGATTATACATAGATGTAGGATTTTATACATATACATACAGAGGGTGCCAAAAAAATGTATACACATTTTAAGAAAGGAAAAAACTGTATTAAAATTGTAATACTCAATATATACCAATAACAAAAGATGAATACAAGTCACGTTTGACTTCTGGAATCACAAGAGGTGCTCAAAGTGGTTACCATCAGCGTCCAGATGCTTCTGATTACAGCGAATTACTGCTTGAGCCACGTTGACCAAAGTGTCCACTTGTATACATTTTTTTGGCACCCCCAGTATGTATGTATGTATGTGCATATATATAGAGAGAAAGAGTGTGCATTCTGGTAGTAGTAGTTACCTCTGAGCAGTGAAATTATGGATGATTTTCATTTTTCCTAATACTTTTAATATTTGCAAGTGTTTAGTAATTTGCATTTACTCATAACCAGAAAAATAAATAAAACCCATCAAAAAAGCAAAGGGCGAGTGTTCCACCCTTATGAGTTTCCATACTCAGGCCTATAGGTACTTTGTGTAGCCTATTGGTAGGTGTATCTGGGCAAGGATAAAGTCTAAACCCAGAAATGAGTTCATCAACAAACATGTGCTGCTCATAACCAGGGCTGACGGAAAAGAATGTAAAATCCAATTAGGGCCACAGGGTGCTTAGGGTATATTTACAAGGAGGAAAAGATGAGAAAATAAATAAATATATATATATATGTATATATATAATATTATATATATTATATTACATATATAACTCATATATAGCCATTGTTCTATAGAATGTCTTTGATTTTTATCCCACTCCAAACTTGCAAAAATACTAGCACTGTGTCATATTCCCAGGAAGCAAGCAGCTTTATTAAAGATTTTATGGAGAGATGAGAGGTTACAACTCACACCAGCCGACAGTGAATTGAAAATCTCCGTTCTCCTCTGTTCTATTCTACTCTGAAGTTGCCCTTTGACTGTCACCAGGCCCCAGGCCTCTTCTTGTTCTTGACACCACACCCTTCCCTAGGCATAATTCAACCCCAGCCGCAAATGAACCCACGCTGGTGGTTGGCAGGGGCTTGCTCATCTTAGAAGGCATTCAAGCCTCTGGCGGTTAGTTCCTGAGCACACTTCTTCAGGCCTTAACCCATGCAGACCTTGCTAACCAAATAACTAACCCCACCAAAGCCATTGTCTCTCTAGTGCGGGCTCTGCTAATATTTTTTCCAGATCTTTCACAAGCAAATAATACCATCTTAACTGTGCAGCAATGACTACACTATGAGGTTAGAGCCCAAGTCTTTCTCATCTTTGCATCTCAGCAAAAGCATCCAGCATGGGGCTCGACACACAGTAAGCAATTCAATATGTACTGTGGACCGGAAAAAGCAAGCCCAGAAGAAGACGTTAACTTGTCACTTAGTACAGTAGAGGTTAGAGAAATCAGAATTCAAATGGTTTGGAATTCGCAGAGCAGGCCCACAGAGGGGGTGGGACGTGAGCCAGAGAGGGATGGGATTGAATATTGTAAAGAAAGACCCAGGGCTTTGCAATCAGGGCAGCAAAGCAAGAGCACTGGTACCAGATGTGAACAGACAGACCAAGACAGAGATCCAATCTCATGAGAAAGTCCAGGTTCGAAGTGGGTGTTGCCTCAACTTCCTCCACCTAACATACCAAACCAGACTGGATGGTGTGCTATTTTAGTGAGGGGCATTGAATCAATCGGGTCAGCTAGAAAACAGAACACATGCTATTTTAACAGGAAATAAAGTGTTCAGGAGTGGTTCTTAAAGTGGGGTCCCCAGATCGGCAGCATCTACATCACCTGGGAACTTGAGAGAAAAGCAAATTCTCAGGCCCCACTCTCGACCTACTGAATCCGAAATTCTAGGGGTCAAGCCTGACCATCTGTGCTTTAAAAGACTGTCCAGGTGATTCTGATGCAAGCTCAAGTTTTAGAACCAGGGTTATAGGGAATTGATTAAACAGGAGACTCAGAGGAAACTCAGAGACGGTAGTTTCAGAAAGCAGCTCCCATCCCCAAGGCTTAGAGAATCAAGAGAAGAGTATGGGGTTCCCAGAACCTAGAGGCTTAAGGAAAGCCCGGGGCGCTGGATCTCAGCGCACTGATGAGATGGCACTGTATCTTGAGGAGGTGGCACTGTCAGGACACCATGAGGTGGCTCTGGGAGTGTGGAAAGGGCTTGGGAACTCCCAGCTGCTGCCGCCGGGAGAAGCACTTTCTGCAGCAAAGCGGAAGGAACACACTCTCCCCTGCCCTCTCCCCCTCGCCAGTGCTCTCTATTGGCAGAGCCTAATGGGAAGCAGCTGACAAGGCAGAGCAAGAGTCTGCGGGAGTCTTGACCCAGCCTCACAAAGCAGAGAAAAGAAGAGCTGGTTTGAAGCCAAGACACAGAGCTTATTAACTGGCACAGCCATCTCACACTCCAGCTTCTGAATGAAATTCAGAAGCACAGCCCATTTGGAAGACAAATTATTTGACAGCTCTAACGGACGACCAAACTAAGGGTATTTGAAAAGCAAGGTGACTCAGAGAATGCAGAATTTAATCCAAGTCCCAGATTTTATCTCGGCTTTTGGCCAAGTCTAATGCAAACAAAACCTGAGCACAGAGTATATGTGGAAATGCACATACCTTGTGCTTACACTGTATCTTATTTATCTTTTGAACTTGTTGCAAAAGCAGGTGCTCAGTAAAGGTCTGTGGGTGAGGGGAAGAAGAGAGGGGGAGAAAGGAAAAGGAGCCAGCTCTAGATCTGTGTCTTGCAGAGGATAGAGGCCTAGCATTTCCAGATCACCTGGTTTTTTTTTATGTTTGTTTGTTTAAAGTCCCAAATCCTTATTTTATTTATTTTTTTTTCAATTGGGGGACTTGAGGGAGAAGAACAGTGTTGGGGAATTGGGGAAGGGGAACAGCTAAGTTGTTGTTCCTCAATCTTAGTTGTGGAGGGTGCATCTAGCTCAGCTCCAAGTCCAGTCACACAGCTCAGCTCAAGGTGCTGTGTTCAATTAGCTGTGGGTCGGAGGGCATAGCCACCATCTCATATGGAAGTCAAACCAGCAGCCTTGCTGTTAAGAGCGCATGCTCTATCCCCTGAACCACCTGAGTTCAGTCTTAGTTGCAGGCGGGCGCAGCCCACCATCGAACAGGCAATCTTGTTGTTAGGAGCACGTACTCTCACCAGCTGAGCCAGCCTGCCACCTGTTGGCAATTCAGTGGCAGCTCAGCTCGGGCGCAGCTTACTGACCCATGCAGGACTCGAACTGGTGACCCTGTTGCTCAGAGCTCGCACTCTTGAGCAAGCTCTTACCCAATTGAGCCACTCAACCAGCCCCCAAATCCTTATTTTTAAATTCTAAAAATTTCAATACTTTTCAAAAAAAACTGTGCAGGATGATAAAACATTTTTGAGGGTCAGATGGACTGACAGTTTGTGGCCTCCAGCGATTAACAGGACACTATTGAATCATGGACTTACTACCTCATTCCCTCTTCAGTCTACAGACAGTCCCCAGAAGCCCCCGGAATTTTGGAAATGTTTATCTAAAGTTGTAATATTCATGGAGACCCTACCTCTAAACCTTAAATGTGGAAGGGTGGGGGCATTACAGCCCTTATCACAAACACTCTAAGTGTGAGCAAATAAATCACACACTCAGAGGCCAGAACCTGTAGTAGGAGGTCCTTTAGTTCCAGTGTGAGTCATGTCCATTAGAGAGACCCCCAGGGGGCAGCTCACTTCTACTGAATTTCCTTCCCTGTTGCTTTGCCCAGGTGGCCCCCCTCAGAAGCAGCAGAGAAAACTCCTTTCTCCTTGACCTCCTTTTCTTCTCCTCACATTGACTCCCCAGATTCTGGCTTTCCTTGTGCTGATGTCATGCCAGGGCCATTTCTTCAGCTGTCTACCCCCCTACTGGATGGGGGCCCAAGGCTTGGCGTCCCGAGGCAGGAAGACAGAGAGAAGGGAAAGGAAGAGAGATCTTCCTGTTGTGTACCCCAGGCCTCCCATGCTACCCAGAAGAACAATGCTGTGAGCACCTCCTTATGTCTGCTGAGGGGGTGCAAACCTTGGAGGTAGAAAAGAGAGAGAACAACGTTTGGATCAGGCCCCCAATGGTTTCAGTTACCACAGCTTGCTCATACACCAGCCCTGCCGGACCAGACGTTCCTTCCGCTTCTCATGGCCTCCAGTTTGCCTCATCATATTCCTCAGCTTTCTTCGTGTGCCATCTCTGACCACTATCATTGTTTCGTGAAATCCATGCAAGTCAATTTGCTCTTTCTCATCCTGTCAATTATAAACTAGGCCTGAGAAATTGTTCCCCTAGTTAGGATTTTAGTAATACCTGAATGATTCCCTGCAGTTCATTTTGGGCAGTGATTCTCTTTCCAGACTGTGCATTAGAATCACCTGAAGAGCTGTGTAAAAATACTGATGCCAGGTCCCATGCTACCCTAATTAAGTTGGAGTCTCTGGGGTGGAGCCTGGGCCCTGGTATATATATTTTAAGCTCTCTCAGGTCATTCTAATGGGT